AGGGGAGACTCGTGGTTACCCATAGAACCCATTTTCATTCAGATATCTTGAGGTCAGAGGTCAGTGGATCCCTTTGAAAATGGCCATGCCAGTTTTTCCATCGCCAAAATTTAGCTTTAGCTTTTTTACTTTGGAGCGTTACCTAACCGCCTTATCAAAATGCTACCATGGCATGGTTGGAACCAATGGATGTGTTAAAAGTTTATGTAGTTCCATATGACAGCTTCAGTGAGCTTTAAAGGGGAGTCTGCTACCGCCTTTGAAAGAGTGGAGTGTAGAGAGGAAGAGCGAAGGATAATGGCGCTCACAGAACCAGAAAATACTAAATTTTAGATGTGAATGAGAGAGGCAGATTCTTTTCACAATAAAACACTGATATCTGCACCACATCTTACTTGCCTAGCCCCAGAGCCCTTCCCAGCCTGCCTTGCTGTTGACACCACTTCTTGTTTCCTTGCTGGTTTCTTAGCAACGTGTTTGTACCTAATGGGCAGAGTTATATCAGCCTTGTTGACAGTGAGCGAGAAACCTGCCGGAGAGGACAGAAGTGAGGAATAACTAGCAGGATGAAAGGCTTTTAATATGGAGGTAATAGGCGAGGCGGAGGCCCGGGAGAGTCCTGCAGCAGAGCGGACTGAGATGACTAAAGCAAACAGTAAACGTCCATCAGTGCTGAAGAGACGACTGGCCCTCATCTCTGACCTCCACACACCCACAAATCTATGGGCTTAATTGGAGATTCTGCTGCACTGCTCTCCATCAGTGCTCTTTATTTGCCAGTGCAGCCACACATAACCTGTGCAAATTTTAGAGTGCCTACAGCCAGAAAAAATATCTAAAATTCATCCAATTGAATCATAACCAGACGGCTGTGACAGAAACGAACCAGAGATATCCTGTGCAAAAAATATGTGTGAATTTCATGTGTTCACATTTATAATATTTGGAATGTATGTGCCTATATCATGGGAGTTTTCATCACATAAAACCTTCTAATATCCTTTTTTTATGGTTGAGAGAGGATAAATATATCATTGTCACAAGTAAGAGAGATCGTTGAAAAACAGCACCACAAAGGAAGGAAATCAACATGACAAGGTCAAAACCCATATCTCTGACAACTGTGAAAAGACGCTCGAGAAAGGCTGGTCTGAAGGGTTGTGTATCTGCAAGAAAACCACTACTTTGTCCAAAGAACAAGAAAAAGAGATATGAGTGAACAAAAGCACACAGAAATTGGACCTATGATGACTAGAAACAAGTTCTCTGGACCGACGAAAGCAGGTTTGAACTATTAGGTTCAAATCGCAAATCTCTCGTATATGCCATGCTGTTTTTAAAGCCAGAAGTTACTTTGAAGAAAACAAAGTCTAAGCAAGAAAACCCAAATACCTGATAATTATAGTAAAATTGTATTCTGATAAGTGACTCATATTATAATGATTATGTTTATTTTGTTGCAAAGTATACAAATGGAACTATGATCTTTTTTGTACATACATACATTGGCCTGTAGTGTATGTAATTGCTAATTTCACCTGTGATGTCTTGCATGTGAAATGCCCCAAAAACCACATGGAATTGTATTTGACATATTGTGTTAAAACCCTGGCTCAAGGGAAGCTACATGAAGGAAGAAAACAAAGTTGATTCACCGGATTTTAGATTTATTAATTTTTTATTAATTTAGATAGGAGGAGCAACCTACCAAAAAAGCCAAGTACACAAAAACCTGCATTGGTCAGAACAATGGTAAATTCACATCCATTACAAAAAAAGCACAGGTGAAATTCTATGTTTCACATATCTACAAATTACATATGTCTTTATGTGATTCATTATATGTGAATTGATATTTCAAATGTGATAAACCACATATATTGATTACATGAATGAAAATGTTTTTGTAATCATTTGTTAAACATCTGAAACTTGCATGTGCCTACTTTGTGAATGTATGCCATGTGTTACTATTTTTGACTTCTTTTTGAAAAAAATAAAACAACATAGACCCACACGAGTTATTATTATTATATTTTTAAGTAATTTTTTTGGCCTTTTCATTGCCTTTATTTGATAGGGACAGAAGAAAAGGACAGGAAAGGGGGGCAGAGAGAGGGGATGACATGCAGCAAAGGGCCGCCTTTGCTGCATGAACTTACTACCAGGGAACTGATGTTTTCATCTGTGATTTCGTTCATTCCTGTTTTCTACATATGAATTTACATGTTCTTGGTGGAACTGTTCACTAAAAACAAGACGGCCATGTTTGAGTGCTTTATTAAAAACATTAAACATAAAAAACCCATGACATCTCTGCAAAATGATTTTATTTTGTCCTTTTACAATTTGCTTCAGTCAAAAACACACTCAATGTACAAGCAGTTAGACTGGATTTGATTGCAGCTATATTTCAAAATCATAAAGAAACATTTACTCAATAAATACAGTTTTTGCCCATGTGCTTAAATGTGGTGGGATTTTCTTTACTGAGCATATTTACAGTACACCATAAATAACTTTTAAGAGATTGGAGCACATTTCAGGCTTTGACAAAAGAAAAAAAAAATCCAAACTTGTATAAATATAGGTTCATCTAAGGACTGAAGAGGACATAAAGAAGAGAAACCTTGAATCCTGCTGTACAAACATGCCCACATAACAATAATTAACAGTTGCTTCAGGGATCCGCCGTAATGAATGCAATTAAGCTGCCTTACCTGGCATTCCAACGGGTCAAATTGCATATGATCTCAAGTGTCAGTCTTCCTACAGTCACCTCAGAAATTACCACAGATATCAGGACGGAAAACATACAATATCTCCCATATTTTCTGTCATGTACTTGGATGATACTTCAGTTTCCGGTAACAGGTCATACATGATTATTTACCATGTACTGAAGCAGCAGACGTCCTGTGTCAACTATTAAAACTCAGTATCCATGGTTCTCTTCAATATTTATCATGTACGCATAAGGGTCTGTCTTTACTTTGCTGCAAGATACCAAAAGTGAGAGAACAGAAACATCAAGAGAATGGCTTTGCATATTAGTCTGTGAAGTTTAATTAATCTGCATCACTGCAAAGTGCACCACACCCAACCCTGTCACCTCCTCATCCAGATGCATTGAAAAACAAGGAGATCTCTTCACAAATACTCCATCTGTTATAGTGCAAAAGGTTACACACGGGGACGGATGTTAAAACACAACTTCAGCTATTTTCCCATTTTCTCCATCATACCGATCCATTCTGACCAAAATATTGTCCGTTTTTAACTTGCACTATGTTACTTTGCTCCATTCAAAATAAAATCTAACATTCATCTATTCATCACATTGTCTGACAGCTGTGACAGCAGTCAAATGCTGGTCAATTGTGCAGCTGTCTTAACCATGAGGTTGGTACAGTATTGTAACCATGACGACTTGGGACCCCCGACCTTAATGAAATCATAATTTTAACCCAAACCCCGATGTTTCCCTAACCCTAACCGAACCTTAACCAGAGCGTCATCATAAAACAGATTTACTGTGTAACAGTGAGTTGTAAGCAACATATTTTGTTTCATTTGGAGTACATTTTGAGTTTGCACACTAAAAACATCAGAGTTGGTGCACTTTCTAGAGTGAATCAAAGAAGAGAAGAAATCGATCGAAAACAGATCTTTGATGACATTGCAGGACATGCTTCTTGTTTGTCTTTTATTCGCAGCAATGTATGCGCATTGTTACTGCCGGCCACCATCTTTGTTCTTTACCGTCTCACTGTACCAGACGTTCTGAGATATCAGCGCTGATTACAGCTTCTAACAAACGCACTCCTCTTACTTCAAGGACACGCCTTACTTGAGAAGATACTCTCCCCCCATTCTCCTCCAGTGTAACACAGAGAGGGCTTTTTAATGATAATGGACACCATGAGGACCAAACCATGAAGAATTCAAAGGGCCGCAGACATAAAGGCTACATAGTAGAGGTCTTTGCGGTTGTCTTATCTTATTATCGGTCGAAAATGTTGTACCTGATTTTAGGCCAGAGGAAGCAGATCAATTCATGAGGTCAAATAAAGTCAATCTTAGATGAAGCTGCAATAAAATTGCATTATTTACCAGAATCACAGGCACTATAATGTTGTTCCTCTTATATTCACCTAGCACCCATTCAGAGAGCCACACACTCACATGTTCCTTCGCAGACTTTAGAAACAACAGCAACAGATGAGATTTGGATCAGTATGATGGAGAAACAACAGGATCCAGAATGACCATGGTTAATGCTGTGACTGCAGTCCCACTGTGTGTGTTAGCTGAGTGTTAGCTGCCATTGGTGATAATGACAGAGGTGCCTTTGTGTCCGGGGGTCTGCTCTGCCGGGATGCGGAGGTGAGGGGTCATATCGTAATGGGTGGGGCCCGTGCTGGCAGAGGTGCAGTAGCCCCGGAGGCTCTCTGTGTCATAGAGGTGCTCCAGAGTGTAGCCTGTCAGCGAGTAGGCTGTATGCTTGTCCAAGTAGGGCCGCGGGTGTGTGTGGGAGGGGTAGAGGGCTGGGGCGGGGGTGGGGGAGGCCGAGCACGGACCCGGCCGACCAAATGGGTGGTGTAATGGCAAAGACAGCGGGGACAGATCTGTCTGGAGGTAGTCTTTGGGCTTGTGGAGGCGCTCAGACCCTGGACTGCTGAGCCTAGACAGTGGAGCAGGGCTGGACGCAGGGCTGATCCCCTGACTCAAACCTCGACACACCACGGTCTGTAGCGGCAGGGGACCTTGAGTATACTCAGGAGAGAAGCATGGACCAGGGCCCTTGGGCAGTCCATTGGCCGGCCCCACTGGAGCATCCGGAGGGCCCTTGCGTAGCTGAAGTCGACTTTCTTCTTCCTTGATCATCTGCTGCGTGGCTCGGATCAGCGTTTCGATCTTGCTGGGCTCCTGCGGGCTGCAGCGGTAGTGCTCAGCTTGGTACCGATCCCCTGAGTCGCTGGCTGAGCCTCCATCTGGAGAGCTGACCACGCTGTCCTCGTCCCAGTGTCCCCGGCCTGCAGGAGGACACAGTGAGAGCAGTCAGTGCAGAGGAAACATGTCATTCTCAGCAACCGTGGCTGCCCTTGGCTTCCACAGATTCCCTTTAACTCTGTAGGATCTTCTAGCAAGAAAAATGGAAACTAGCCTGACGCTAGTTATGTGGCACAACAGCAGCACATAATGCTGACTGTTGACAGGTTCACTGTAATGTTGTGTACAGAAAGTGAAGCAAATCTCATCAAAGTGATGAGATTACATACAAAGTAAATGCAAAGAGAGGGATAGATGTAAATGCATGCCAGGTGATGTGAATGGGCCAATTTCACATCCTCGCCCTATATTTGTGCCAGCAGAAAATAATCAACTTATCAAAAACATTTGTGCACACAGGGTGTCTGCAGTGTTCTGTGGGGCGGAGCAGAGAGACAGAGCTGGAAACACCCACTGTCACACCAGATTCTGCTCCGATCAAAGCTTGGAGTTTATTTTGTATCTTTTGGGATTGAACAGTGGATTTATCAACCTGTCTGCTGTGAGCCACAGAGGTGCCACACCGACTCGTATCTGTCTGTGTGCAGCCAGAGCTCTATGATACTGCTTCACATTGATACAGAGAGTGGACAAAAAAGGAGATTGTTGGAGAAAAGTAAAAGCTGAAAATATGTGTCTGTTACTTGATTCTAGTAATCGGTTTTACTTTACATTTTTTGTGCATTTTAAAAGACCCAACAAAGTATGAATTCAGACTTTTTAAAAATCGCTATCATGATTTGGCATCTTTTTGATCCATTCATTGCAATTAAATAACAGCAGAATCTGTATTTTTGGTTCATACCACCATAGTAAGACAGATTAACACACATTTGCTGTGTGTTGCCCATATAGCTCTGTCTCTACAGTGGACACAGTCCAGGTCTTAGTCCTCACCGTGGTAGCTGTGGATGGCTGTGATGTGCGGCATGCTGCTGTCATATCCCTCGTGGTTTTCCAAAGAGCTCTTGCTCAGCGGTAGAATGGAGCGAGCCGTGCCCCACCACGCGTCCCTGCCAGGCGGAGGCGCTCCTAGAAAATATCGCCCCGCCTCACATCGGCCCCTCTCACAACTTTGACCTTGAGCGTGCGTGTGGAGGTGTGTGTAGCCGTCACTGGCTGTGTGATGCTGCTCTTCAGACAGGCCGCGGCAGAGCGTGCGAGGATCAGTGAACTGCCTGTACACACAGGAGGCGTCGAGGCCTTCGCTGTGCTCCAGCAGCTGAGGGGAGGCGGAGTCGGTGAGGGGGCTGCTGCCCCATGGACTGTCCTGGTCAGACTCTGATCGTTCTGTCTGGAAACTAGGGTACTGCGGTGAGAAATGTGGGTAGTGAGACAACAAAAGACATTATAGAAAGCCTTCCAATGAACACAGCCAGCTGGAGCCCCATTTGAGACTATGAACAGCTGACTACCAAACTCAGCACAGTATACTGGTGGAATTGTGGATACTTATTGGCTAAAAGTTAGCTATGTTACCGAGAAAGACTTTTCCCCATACATTACTACAAAACAAACAACTGTACTACAGTGAAGAATGTATCACTAACACTTTAAAAGGTCGAGTCAGTAAAACTTAGAAGTCAAAAAAGAGGCCTATCAGTAAATCAGTTTCATTCTACCCATGTGTGCAGGAGGGGTCGCCGCGGCCAGTGAAGGACTCTAACCAGCATGTGCTGCTCCCCAAAATGCAAAAGCCTGAAGACATTTTCCTTGTAATGGCCCAGTGAACATTTCAGTTGGAACACACGGAGCATTATCATGGAACAAAGAATCCACTTCCTTAAAAGGATAATTCTGGTGTATTAACTTTTGGAACTTGTTTTTGTAGGTTTGGCCACTGTTTGTTGTTTTCTCTAAGACCTTTTTGTCTTTAGTTGATTGATTGTAGAGAGAGACAGGAAACAAGGTGAGACATGTTCAACATGCAACAAAGATCCCCGGCCAGGAAAAGAACTATAAACACTGCGGCGACGGTTAACCATTGCTGGCAAAGAACTGAGGTTACAGCAACATCTTCATAAACACTGATGGGACAAGAAACATGAGCCGTCAGACCATCAGGTTGGAAACAAACCCCCGGGTTAGCCAAACTAACGTGGAAGAGAAACCACTGCAAATTATTATAATATAATTATTATACTTTGATGTACCGTACTTGCAGTAGTTGCACATATATTCCTGTGAAATGAGGGATTATTACCAACATGGTGTACTCACTTTCTGTTTTACCTAAAAATAAAGTCCACTGATCAATTTCTGTGGTTTAACAGATTTGGGGTTGCAGTGGCAGCAAGGCCTGTCTGATGCTTTGTTGGACTTTGTAGCAGCGTCATGCGTATTCCCAGATCTCAGCAATTTTCTTTGGTGTGTACAGTGTTATCATAACTGATAGGACCAAAACTACAAAAACAACACCCAAGTTGTAAGAAACCAGAATTGTCCTTTAAATAATAAATGATGGTACCTCACCTAAAGAACCATTATAGGCTCCCTTCAAAGTCAGCCAAAACGATGTGTCATACCTGAATGAGCAAGCGCTACAAAGTGAAGTTTTCCAGTAAGACACACTCACCTGTGTGTATGGCGAGAGTCTTGCTTTGGTCTTGGGCCGGGATACTTTGCTCTTGGGAGTTCTGCAGTTTTCCGTGAGGCTGGCGGTGCTGCTGCCGTAGGGGAAAGAGGCCTTGGATGTGGCCTGGTCCAGAGAGAGCTGGAGGCCTTTATACTCTGTCTCCCTACAGAAACAAGTGTAAATTCCACGTGTTGCAGTCAAAGTAATTTCGTTGACGTTTTGAATTTGCATGGCATAGATTAATTATGGTCCGTAATTACACAAGGAGAGATCCCAGTCCCCTGGAAAGGCTGTTTATTAAAGAACACGAACAGCCCATGTGTACCTGCGTGTTTGGGTTTTCTCTAGGTGCAAAAACCCATTAACATCTGTTTAGCAATTAGAGCCTCATCATGGAGCAGAGAGGGCCAGCTTGCAGAGAGGTGAGTGTGTGTGTGTGTGAGAATGCTGGGAGGGGCGGGGGTGTGCTAAGAGGGCTGGGATGGTTGTTGGGATGCTTGTTTTACCAGAAGGATTGCAGCAAGGCCTTCAACAAACACTCCACAGGGGGAAGGCTGTCCAATCAAATACACTGGGAGATTAAAGGCTATGTCTGGCTAAATCAGGCCCATAGGAGAAGCTTGGACGTCTCACTGCTGGGAAAAGGGAATTGATTTCTCGCTAAAGTGTTCTACAGATCTCGCCATGGATGATAAATCAAGTTTGAGACAATAGAAAACCTGGACAGGGTTTACTTGAGACAAATAGTGATCCATCATCTACACATATCTCCCCTCTGTTTCAATTTCTCCCTACACAAACACAAATTCATACAAACATGCAGGCACATTTCATAGTATTTGCATTGGTTACTTTTGGAGAGCGTCCTAAAATATCACATTCATAAGGAACTGCTGCTATAATTACAATGCTAGCAGCCTGGTGGAATAACCAACAAATTATGATTCTTTCCTACAGGTTAAAAAGCACTCCCTAAATGGTTTGATGATAGGAATGTAAAGATGTATTACAAGACAGATACATTTAGATACATATATGTGACATTGATTTCAGACACCGGGTTAACAGACTAATGGAAACAGAACCTAGAACATCTGTATGTAAGTAGATTGTTGCTGTTGATTTAAAAAAAAAGAAAGAAATGGAAGCACTCTAAAACACTGGTTCCCAAACCGTTCATTTAAATGAAGCAGTCTGTACTTGCAAGCCCTTGACACTGCCATGGTGACAGGATTTTGGAATGACTGGAAAAATGTGGGCTACCCGTTTTGGCAATTCAAAATAAAACAGAAAAAGATGGGACGTACGTTAGCAAGACAGGCAGCTTTTTCCAGTCAAGCCATGTGACAATATTCACAATTATCCTGATTCCTGATAATCCCAATAATAAAAATTGACCACAATAATAATAGTAACGATATATGTGATAATTTCGTATAGGCCTGTGCATTGACAAAAGTCTGGTGAAACAATACAATATATGATTCAATACATTGCAAAATATTGGATTGCTGTAAGCAAGGTGATCTATTGAGATAATTTTAGGATCATTTACTGATAGAGGATAAAAAAACACATCCCCATATGCTTAAAACCTGAGTTAAAATAGTTAACTTGTTATGCAACCAGAAGAGATGGATCTGCATTTGTATTTATCACAGTCTGTAGCATCCAACATCATAGTCCTCAGTTAATATCTACAACACTGCTATCTAGCATTTGGAGGTTTAAAGTTCGGTCTAGACCTGCTCTATTTGAAAAGTGTCTGAGATAACTGAGATAACTTCTGTTATGAATTGGCGCTATACAAATAAAATTGAATTGAATTAAACAAAAAATCCATACAGTGCTTTTGGAGAATCAATACAATATTATAAAAACAAAATATCGTAATAATCAAGTGATCTGATATTTTCTTTACACCCCTAATTATCATATATTATCCCATCCCAAGTCACAAGTTGCACGTCATTGAGTCTAATGCAGTTAGGATTCACATTTCAGAGAATGCAAGATTATTACGTTTGTCAGAAGAAAAAAGCAAGGATATGACAATAATCAAAAGATATAATTTTGTGCCAAAATTTTCTTCTTATTTCATGATTCCTTACATTTATTTTGTGACGCCTCGGAGTATCCCAACTCACAGGTTGGAAACCAGTGCTCTAAACAGGTAGAACCTTTTTTTGGTTTTACTCGAGTATACGAAGATTATTAAACCTCACTAAATATGAAAAATGTTGGATGTATCAATGAAAGTGTTTCTAACTGGACACTGATGTTTTCCGGAGTGCGGCAGAGTGACGACTTTCCTCTAAACCAGAATGGAATGCAACACAACTGATTAAACAGACTGTGTAACTGTTGTGAGTAAAAACATGTGGTTATGTGCTTTTGCTGCAGACATGCCTTTATTCATAGGATTACTAAATCACTGTCAGGTTGTGGTAGCAGCGGCAGGTGTAGAGGTTATCTGAGCTAAACACACAGTGGGAGTTCACATGCAGGTGAAGTGGCCTTATCGGCTGTGTTATCCGTGGCCGCATACACTGCAGCTACCGGGCAAACCAACTCTGCTCCTGATAACAGCGCACAAAAGAAGCCTACTGCCTCATTCCACCGTCACTGTGGGTCAATCCATACAGTATCTCAAAAAGATTTACAAACGCAGAGCAAAGAGGGAACTGAGGCTTCATTCCCCTCACAGTAAGCTGGAGCCCATAAACGCTCATCAAGTTTACAGCCTATCAATTAAAAGGCCGTAAACACAAAGCTGTTATGGGTTTGATGTAGGAGGTAGAAGAAATGTGTGTCAAGCTGTTCTCTGCCTCCGAATGCACCCGGCCGAGCTGCTTAATGGAGGGCTTTATAGGCCTCATTCATTCACGCGCTCACTTGTACATCTGTGAAATATGCACATCAGGGGTAATAAAATAATAGGATAACAGGCAATGAAATGCTGTCCCTCTCTCAATAATAATGCGGCTCACGCAGGTAGAGTCTCTGCTGTGATCACAGTTGGTTTTATCGTAAGGAGGTGAAGTAGCAGCTTGTGATGAGGATTTTGGTGGCAACACAGTACTATTGGACTGTGCAGGATAAAGGCCTGCAAATGCAATCCTGGTCCAGGCAGATATGCTTCCTCTGTTTATATACTCTGCAGGCAGAGCTGCCAGTCTTAGATAAACTATACCAGGTGACTGACGCCGCCACAGAGAGGCCGCCACAGGTAACAGCCAACACATGAGCACACTTAACAAACTTGGTAACAAAGGGCTCAGACATTCTGACGTAACTGGCATACAAGAGAGCAGATAGACAGATAGAACAGGAATGTCTACTACCATCCAAGGCAGAGAGAGCAGGAAAGTTCTGGTGTTCCTAAAAGAAATCATAATGCCTTTTCCTTTGTTTCAAACTCTATAACAATAAAGACTAAAAACAAGAACAGAATGTGACTTGACAAACTTTATTCATTCTCGGATTCTGCAAACCACGTGTCATATTTCCAATTAACCTCCAGTTAATTGCTTCACAGCAACTGTTTGCGTAAATCTCTAGTACCAACACTCATTATCTTATCAAAGCAGAGAATGACAGCACCACAGAGATCTGAGCCACTCCTCTCTGCCCTGGAGCTGCCAGACACTTTCACACCAAACCCATCTGACAGACAACTGTCCATAAATACCACTACGCATCTATAAAGTAGAAATCCACAACGCTTTCATAATGGTTAACCATCTGTTCCGCTATTCTGTTTCAATAATTCATAAACAACAGTGATTCAACCTATAGTGAGTTTGCGTCACAGCGTTTGACATTTATTTCCAGGTTGGATCTAAAAGAAAAAGACTTGAGCTCTACATGACAGCAATGTTTCTGTAAGTAGCTGTAGGGTCAGCCTGGATGATCAGTAGTAGGCATTCCATCAGCAATCTTCTATCCATCCATCAGTTCTCTGCAGGCTTGATCAGTCATTTTTAATTTATTTTGAAAAATTGGGTCACACCCTGTTTACGCTGTTTCAGACATGTTTTTCCATCTGATGAATAGCTTTGGCTGGCTAACCGTTGCTGGTCCTTCACTGGAGTTCAGCTGAAGACAAAATGTTAACGCTTGGTGTTATTTTTCTTATTGTCATAAAATCCCATAAGAAGACCAAAGCCAACATATTTGCTGGTCTGATTTTCAGTTGTCTGTGACACCCAAGCCCAAGCCCACTGGTTCTAGTAAAGACGTACATTTCTAAAAAGGGCTTTTTAAAAGGTTCAGTGTAGGGTTCCTACTTATTTTCCAGGAATGTTTTCAGCACTTGCTCACAAACAATCATTTACCAGTAAGAGTTTCCCCTAGTATCTGACACCATCTAACTTCAGGTTTTCACACGAAGCCTAATCCTACTAAAAAGTCGAATCAGTCATCAGGTTATAAGCCAATCTGAGTGAGGGGGTAAAAATACCCAAAAAAAAATTTTCAGGAAAAACAATAAAAAAACAATTTCCAGGATATTTGGTCAAATTCAAATCATTTCCAGGTGTATTCCAAAATGAAATGAAG